TTATTAGAAAATAATAAATAAATTTTATACAAAAAAATAAATATATTTTAATTAAATAATAATATATAGTATAATAATAATTATCATTAATTACTAAAAATTAATCCCTCAAAACAGCCCGATTTTCGCCTGACTTTCTTTTTTATAATTTACCATTCATTAATAATAATTAATAAACCAATAAATCTTCATACAAAATATCTGTCATACAAAGCTCGAATACCTAAAATAAAATTAATATGAAATAAAAAATTTTCCCCATAAAAATCCGGCCTTATCGAATTTTTGAAGGAAAGTTTTCATCTCGTCCAGTGTTGTTTCTTTTTTCTCCTCTTTTTCTTTGTCTTTTTGAAGACTTGGACTCCCAAAGGCCTTTTTACCCTTTTCACCAAATTTTGAATACAAAAATTTGACTGAGTCGTCGTCGAGTAAATTCAGACTTTTTGCAAAGTGATAGAGCTGACACCAAAAGCCGTTATTTGGGTTAATCCAAGTCCGTTTTGCCTTAACAAAGTCGTATGACTCTTTAAGTGTCTTTTTCTGAGTTTTCATGAGATAAGCGATAACTATTGAAGCGCTCCGGGAGACTCCCATCTCGCAATGGACCAACACTGGTTTTGGGTTTTGTTCGATAAATGTTATACATCCCTCAAAATGTTTTTCAATATTTTCATAAGAACTATCCTCGATACTAATTTGAAGTTTCTGTTTGATGAACGTGGGGATCTCTATTTCTCCTATTACTAATGAAAGAACTGATTGAATCGAATACTGCCGTAAGATCGCATTGTACTCCGCTCCATACCGAGTACCAAGATATAACTCGCCGGGTATCACTTCAGAGACCAAATCAACCATTTCGTCATCCATTGCCCCAAAATCATAGTTTCAAGTTTCGTTCGATTAGAGTGAGTCGAAAAGGTTTGATTATCCTTCTTGTTATTATTTTTACTATAAAATAAACTATAATTATCGTTCAAATGTACAACGGATGTATTAACTATATTTTGTAGTTATTGTAATTATACATATTTTGATGAAGAACAATTGAACGATATACTATAAATCATACTATTTAAACTAAAATAACAAGTTAAAGAGTCACCGACCGGTTTACCACTCTCAGTGTTGTCGTCTTCAAATATTGACATATGCATTGCGTTAAATACATTATTCGGTCCATTCAACAACAAGTACACTTTCGACTTTAATAGGGCTGAGGAGGTTTTTTGAAGTGAAAGGGTTGAGTACTGTTGGTGCTATGTTATATTCCTTTCTGAGGTTCTGGTGGATATACCCAACGCCTTCACTCAAAATCCAAAACGCGGAGAATACAGTGAAAAAGAAGTTCTTATCATCGTTGGGGTGGATGACTACTGTTTTTGTTATTCCTTGTTTGAGAGGATAGATAGGGTTCTCTGTATTATTGTTATACCCATATAGAAAGAATTTCTCTGAGCTCTCTACCTTCACAGAATAGTCTTTTGGAGTCGGGAAAGATTCTTCGTGATAACAGCCGAAGACGTCGTTGTCTGCAGTAGTCACGATGACCATCACATTATTGTGGCCACACACTTTACTATTAAAATCCTTTGTAGAATAACTTTTATTTGAGTAGTACAAGACTCTAGGGACTCTCAATCGAGTAATTTGTTTGAAAGCATTGAGTGGCGACTCGTGTGGGTCTAAGAGGAGTTGAGACAAGTGAAAGAAAGGGCATTCTGCCTTTGGACTTTTGAGACCATTTTTCTCTTTTTTTCTGTCTACTGAGTCATGATTTGGATTAAGAGAAGCGATTGGCATGGTTCTTTGTGTATTTTGTTGTGAAAGAACACTTGTTGTTAAGGTTCTTTCCGAGACTTGCTTATGAAGGGCCCCCGGGTGATTCACTACGAAGCACTTTTCTTGAGGAGTCTTTGCAACAAATACCCGTTTTGGTCTTTCTGATTTGTCTTGTTTTACTGAATTCACTGAAAACCTCTCCTTAAAAGAAGGAGAAGGGGGGAGAGAGAAATTGAGATGATGTTCTGAGTATTCTACAAGAGATGGTGTGGATGAGAAGCTTTCGTAGTCTCTTGTGATATGTTTTGGACGAGTGAAGTGTGTGATTGGACTTGTCTTTAGTTGCGGGCTTAAAGAACCAGACTTTGTTTCTTGATTTCCCATATTGGTATTATACAGTCTCTTCATCTTTTTGAAAGGTGATTACTTTCCTTTGTCTTTGTTGTAAATTTCTCTTTGTTTTATTACCATTTTTGGTGATTTCTTTCTCATTTCCATAACGACAAGAATGACGTGGTGACTTTTATTTTGTGTTTACTTCGTTTTAAGAAGTATTTGAATTAGGCCAATTGTATATAACTATTTTCACTATATTCTTTGTTTTGTT